GCTTCGGCTCCTGAAAATCCCCCAAAGTGAGGGATTTGGTTAATAGGAATTGCATCATTTCACTCGCATGATTTATTGTGGCTATCTTGTTATTATATTACTTGTGAACTGCCCCACTTGACACCTCACGAGCACCTATTTAGTAGTACCTAGTATTGGAAAGGTTGGTTACTGGGACTTTGTCTCACCCCGTGGTTTACAATGTTTTCAGGTAAAGTTTCTAGGCGTGCGCCTTCGGGAAGAGACGCAGAGGCTTAAGCTTGGTTAGCTTTAGGCCTCTAGTCTTTGTTTATGTATGAATATGTTGTATATTGTCACAGTTAGGGGTCTTTTGTGATATTTTGATTGTTGATCTATTGTAAATTGGAGGGTATGTTACCTCCTTGTTTTAGTTGGCCGGAGGCCATTGCTATTGTTTTATGGAACTTTGTTATACCTGGTGGAAAACAAATTGGATGGGCTGATTTTTGGATGTATGTTGTTACCCGGGCCAGAGGCTCGGAGGCCCAGTGGATTATGATTGAATGAATGATTTCAGTTGCATGCAACGGTTTAAATGTGAATTCAAAATTATGCAAATTTCTTCCTACTATGGTAGTTCATTTAACAGATTTTCCTTTTCTACCATAGTAGTGATTTTATGATGAGTTATAATGTTTTGAGATTAAGGGTTTTTACATTGCTCACACAAAAATCTGGAGTTTGCGAGACATTCGGGACGAGATGTTATGTTAGCAATAGTGAAGGTGATATGTGCTTTGGAAGCTTCACTTACTATGGAAATCTAATTGACATCATTGAGTTGAATTACCAATTTTTCACCGTAACTCTGTTCAAGTGCTCCTGGGCAAATATGACAACTCCACGGGGACTCGCTACTGACCACTTGGGTATCACCTCTGTTAATTTCTCAAGACTTATTCATATGGGGGAATCTGAAGATGATGAGCCATATATTCTTGCTTCCAAGGCACACCAGGTTTACTATGTCGAGGACGAGAAACATAAAAACTGGAATATGGTCGTTCACCTCAAACCACGAGATCTTTATGATATGGGTGATAGTGACATTATTTACGACAGCGAACCCTTCCAACTCCTGAATTTTGAAAACTTATTTCCTCAAGGAGACGACAATTTGGCAATTATCATGTATATGTCTTTTCTTAAATTATTTAAATAATTAGCTACTAATTACTAATTTTTTTCGAAATATATTATAATTCTAACATAATTTTTTTTAAATATCTCTTTTTAAGCAAGATGATAATCAAGAATAGCAATTTCAAAAAATTTTATCATTCAAAAAAGTTGCCTTTCATAAGTAAATATGTATAAATTAAAATTGGTTTAGTTTTTTAAAAAGTAAAAATCTACAATTTGTAGTGATTACATAACTGCTACAAATTGTGAAACTGCTACAAATACTAGCAGTTTTATAATATGCTAGAAAAAGTAAGGCCATTACAAAATGAATCAAAACGCTGCAAAAAAACCGCTACAAATATCTCGCTGATCTCTATAAATACCGCATCACCTCTTCATTCATTTATCCCATCTCTTTTCCTTCCTCTCCCATTTTTCTTTATAATTCTCTCTTTTTTTCTTACTCTCTGATATGGTGGTTTTTTTCTCTTCATTATATGGCAAGGTGATTTTTATTTTATAAGTATTAATATCTTTTTTTTTATTTATAATTTACTAACATATTTATTTATCTTTTTGTTTCACATTTTTCTTCTTCACATTTGTCATACCTTCTGCAACTAATTCAAACACTTCTCAACATAACAGTTTGGGTTCAATATTATAAACTATATCATATTTAATTCAATTATCTTATTAAATTTAATTCACTTCATTTGACACAATCATAAGTTAATTACTTATTATTTATTACAAAATTCAAATGTATAACATGTAGTACATTAGTAATTATACATATTAACAAAAATTCTCTAATATAATCTACTTAATGGTTTTTAAATTTATAATATTATATTTTTTAATAATCAAACATCTCAATTATTTTTTTGGCCTGGAATAAATTTTCTAGCCATTTTCAAACCGCTAGAAAATGAAAAAAAGGGACAAATTTCATAAAATTTAAATATCCCCCACATTTCCAACGATTCATAACCGCTAGAACTTTTTTGGCGCCAATTTCAAAATTTTGATTCTCGACAAAATTTGATATCCTCCGAATTTTCTAGCAGTTATTAACCGCTATAAAATTATGGCACCAAAATGAAAATTTTTGTTTCCCGGCAAAATGAAATTTCGCTCAGAATTTTCTAGCGATTAATTAACCGCTATAAATTTGTCAGATATTTCTAGTGGCTCGTAACTGCTAGAAATTTCATATCATTCCCGTTCCGCTACTTGTTTTTTCTAGCGGTTATTTTAACAGTTAGACATTTTCTGGTATTTTGATCATACTATGTAGCAATTCACGTAACCGCTAGAAATCCCTTTCTAGCACTTGATTTTCTAGCGGTTTGTATAACCGCTGCAAATGTTATTTGTAGCAGTTATAACCGCTAGAAAAGTCATATTTTAACCACTACAAAATACATGTTTTTTTGTAGTAAGTGAAGTAAAAATTAGTGTTATATTAAAGTATAAAATACCAGTAATTCGGTTAGCATGAAAAAAAACCAGTACTTTAATTTGCATTCAACTTCATGAACAGGCTTCAAAAGAACTGATTGCATTACTCTCCCTATCTCTATCTCTCTCTCTCTTTCACATTCTTCCCCGGCCTACTACTTTGGCGTGTGATTCACAATCACATTTGGATACCATGGTAACCTCCATTGCGGGTGACTAGAGGCTCCAATAATTACAATCCTTGTTCGAAAAAGTAGAAGCGGTGCAATCATAAAGTCGAGCTCATGGATGGCATGTATGTTGGGACAGGAATGGTAAGCCATTTATTATTGAGGAAGGAGAAGACGTTGAACGAACCCAGAGGGAAAAGCTTGTTCTGACAAGAATGTTTAACTCCGTTAACCATTTTTAATTTCAAGAATGGATGGTGCTAACAGTAAGAAGTTAAAAGATCTCATAAAAAAGAAAAAAACTTTAGGGACTTAATTCAAAATCAAACCAAACTATAGGGATTAATTCTAGATTTTTTTTTTTTTTTGATATCATAGATTAATTTTTTTTTAACTTAGTTAAATTAATTACTTAACTTTAGACGTAGGTAGCACCAAGTACACTAGAGGTAGGAGCATATATCACTCGATACGCAATGTATGAGGTAAGCAGTACTGACGTGATCAAGACTCAGGATTCTGTGACGTCTGCCGATTAATCATTCAATTGTTTTAATTAAGAAAAATTGCAATTAGCTAAATATAAAAAAGTTCCTTAAAATCATAAAATTATTTTAAAATCCCAAGAATCCTTATTACAATAAATTTTATTTGTTTAATTACTATATTATCCTTCTTCTTCTTTTTTTTAAGTTTACATTGACAACTGAAAGAGCAGTCGTTGACAACTTAAGGTAAAAGGATTAGCAACTATCACGGTAGGTATTAACAACTCATGAGAATTATAATATGATAAAAAATAAAAAAATTACTATTAGGACAGGACCACGAAGGGATGACCTCACCTCATGTCCTGCCCTATCCCGTCCCTTCCTGTCCCAATATGGTCGGGACCGGGACGAGTCGATTTTGAACACCTCTACTGGGGTAAGCCATGCCAAACAAATATTTAATTACAGGTCCTCATAATTGAGCCCATTTATTTCAAAGAAAATAAAAAATAATACCTTCGGCTTTTAATATAAGAGCGTGTTTGACTTTTATTTTGGTTCTAAATATAAGATTTCAATATACTTTGTCTCTCATATTTATCCATTTTTTTTAAAGAGCCTTTGTAATAATAGTAGTTTTAGTCAATACACCTGATTAGAAAGGATATCATGAGAATTTGACATCGCTCATGAGCACTTAAAAAAAACTCCTCTTTTATACTTATTTCAAATTTCATAAAATTATTTTTAGAAAGTTAGTCTAAGCGCGTAGATGTGTGAATTCTTAGTTCTGGAGGGCCATGTGTCATTCACATTCTCTTTCAATCAAATCAATTACGAGTAATTTAAAATGATTTGAATGTGGAGAGATCATGTAAGAAAATTCAATATAATTCTGGGGGATGATTTGCACGTTTTGGCCAAATACAGATAATGCTATTTCTTAAGTCGAATCGGTCTTATTAATTCCTGGGCAATCCACCTCTATGGGGTCCCGGTGCTCAAATACTCAAGCGCACGCGTGCACTACGTGGCTCAAGATTATCCTTACCTCCATGTACCGTGGTCTCCTATGGTGCGCTTGGGCATTCTGTATCGTGTGTCCCCCCCCCCCCTTTTTCTTCTCTTATTTCGCTTGAATTATTATATATTATTATATATATCCACACATTTTCTTTTCCGGAAAAATATATAAACAGCTTGACATACTTAAGCTTTATATTGGTTTCAACAGTTCCTAGTGATCTTTTCATTAATATATATATATATATATATATATATAATAAGAAAAAGGAGAAAACTTAGAATGAAGGCTAAGAGAAAGTAGTGATGAAGGAGCAAGGAGAAAGACCGACAAAATAGGAGTAGAAGGTGAGGGGTACTGTAGTAATTGAAGGGTCAAGGTGCACTCAGTAGTGTGAACGGAAGAAGGCAGAGGTGTGCTAGCGTCTGCGGGTTACTCGCTGTGTGGGCAAGGTAAAGCTTCAAGCATTGGAGGCTCGAAACCGGGGTCAAACTGGATGATGAAGGTGATATTTGAGATATGGATGGTGGATCAGTGCATGTTAATGGCAATTTTTAAAGGTATTAGCACATATTTAACAGTAGGAACTAACATATCTAACAGTGAAGGGTTTAAGGAGTCAGGAAAAAGGGAAAAAAATATATAAGGACCTAATTTAAAATTAAAAAAAAAAAAACTAGAATGAACTCCAAATTATTTTTCCCTTTTATTATATATATGCAAATTACATGCATCTCGCAAATCAGAAGCTTCAACACACACAGAGCTATCCATACATCATTATATTAAAGATAAACCCAAAACTTCAATTCTCAAAAGATGAATGAAGTTATTTAAGACAGCTAGAAATGTGCAGATACGAAGATTGACGGTCTTGGTGATCAGGCGTTTCTGGTCACAGAAAAGGTGACATTGATGAATTCAGTTTTCTCTTTGGACATACGATCTGTTAAGATCTCCTGGTACCTCTTGAAAACTTCTTCGATGATACCATCTCCGAAGTGGCTGATCAGCAAGGGCTCGGCCACAGCCCTCATACACTTTGCCACGTTATATCCACCATCACTTAATACTTCCGATTCACTAAACTCGCTGCCTATTCTGTTCCGGTCATCGTACAAATTCCAGTTCACTGCAGATACCTCCACACGATGGGTTTTGAATGACCCTTCTTTCACGATCTCTTGTTCCACTTCAGACGGGGATGGTGTGTATTGAGGTATATTGAACGAGTCCACTTCCTCTTGTTCTATAATTCCCTGTAACTCATCATAGTAAAAACAAGTTCGTACGTTAGGTAATTTTTGCATGAAAATTGAGGTGCATAATAATTTCGTAGTTCAATGATAGAGATGGCGAATATTAGCAACATGTTTTCAAAATGGGACCGATATAATAGTTCATCATCAATGCTAGTGACGTGATTTGTTAAACACAACAGCGGGACCAATAGGCGATGGAGCCGATAATTGAATTCCATTTCAATCATCCAAGAAGCTACGATGATTACCGTGGAGGCCAAGTCATTGAGAGCTGTGGCCATAAGCTCCCAGATTAAACAGCATTCGTTGGTAGAGGGATCGTCACTTCTTCTGCCTAAGAACGTGAGCACCATACAACCCCCTTCCACCACTTCCTTCGCACGACACTGAAGAAACAACGAGAAGTCTCTCTGAAATTGCTGGTAATAAGCCTTGAACACATTCGAGGGGCTTGTGCTTGCCATATAGATGTTGCCCTTATTGTTCTCCACTCCCTCGGGAACCTAGCGCATTAATCGAATCAAACATTTAGCTCTATATAATACTGTTTACTATTTCTAAGAGGAGACAGTAAAGAAGATGGATCTGAACAATCTCAGTTTAAACCGGTGAATATGTATACCTGAGAAAGCCACATAAGACTGTAAGAGGAATGGACAAAATGGAGACTTTTCGAAGGAAAAAGCCTGCCGTAGAAGGAACCAGGGATTCCCGATAAGAAGCAAGGACCAACCCCAGAAACCATTTCACGACTGAGTTTGTCCTTGAAGCTGCCAAGAGACCGGAAGATGTTGTTGAAGTCATTCCCCGGGAGATCGTTCAAGAAGACTTGGTATTCCGGAGACTGCCGGCTTAGGTCTCGGCGAAGCATCTCCAATGTTCTGATAACTTCAGAAACCACAAAGAAAGTGTTGGGACCAGAAGAGCAACCCAAATCTGCAATCGCTAGGCTTGGCGGGAGCATTTTGTGGTACAAGTTGGTTATGGCTTCCTCTCGAATCGGCTTCGTCAGTATCAGCACCTTTTGCTGTTTTGCATCACCCAAAAAGAGGTATCAGTTTTATGCTGCTTTACTCAGTTTATTATCTCCGAAATATTGTTATATAGCAAGGAAGATGAATTCGTCGAAAGTGGTACTTAACTACTTATACGGAATGTTCATACACACACACACACACACAGATACCTGAACTAAGGAATTGTTTGCATAGCTTGCTTCTCCCACGCCCCCGTTCATGTGCAGCACTTGATCAACCTCCATTCTTAGTATATCTTCTTTCTCTCTGATTTCCTAATCTCTCTCGATCGCTGGATGTGTGTTGTGTGTCTTTGGAGGGATCTATTTATAATAGGCGGGGCCGTCGCTCTGTTATGATCTATGTCAAAGTGAGAGTAAAATTCATTGTATTTTTGTTGTTTAACAAACATTGGACCTGGCCAGTCCTTTTTCTGCTGATAAAATCATAAAATGCGCTATTTCCATGTAATCAAAGTTAAGGTTAAATACTAATATTAAATATAAGACTTCAATCCATTTTATCTCTTATATTTATTTACTTTTTTAAAGATAATCTTTATAGTAATGATAGTTGTAACTAATATACTTAATTAGTACGAATATTTTTAAAAAAACAATACATATTTATTACGAATAACTAACTTAACTAATTTTTTTATATCATCCAAATTAGTCAAAGGAGAGGAGGGAGCATCAGGGACACTAGAGGTGGGAGCATACATCACTCGGTACGCAATGTATGGGCGCAACGTATGAGGTAAGCAGTACTGAGGTAATCAAGACTCAGGATTCTGTAACGTTTGCCAATTAATAATTCAACGGTTTTAATTATTCCCTTCAACAAACCTCACGTTGTCGCTTTGTTCTATTGGACCATGATCATAGTCCACCGTCACACGCACGCACACCCCTCATTGGAATCATTTGTGTTGAAGATTAAACCATCCTTATAATATATACTCCCTCCTTTTAATCACTGATGATGATGCACATATTATGTGTGCAACCAGTAGTTTGAGGGGAAAAAAATAAACATGAGAAATAAAATATATTAAAATTTTATATTTATGGTCAAAATTAATTTCTTAAATAAATCCTACATTTAGGATGGATACGAAGAAGTACGTAGTATTTTTGTGTGTCGCTGCCACTGTGGTACAAGGTGGTGCATGACATGGCAAACAAGTATTTAATTACTAGTCTCTGAATTGAGCCCATTTGTTTCAAAGAAAATAAAAAATACATATATTAAAGATATTTTAAATAGAAAAACGGGAAGAAGAGAGATACATGGAGTTGGAGTCCTTTGGTTTTCCCTTCCATAATTTAACTTTAAACTTCGTTCAGATTTCAATATTCTCTTTTTACTTGAATAACCAGTGCTATTTTATATTGTTTAGATGAAGATTTTTGTGCTATTATGGGAATATGACATCCCTCATAAGCATTAAAAAAAAAAACTCCTCTTTTATACTTATTTTGAATTTCATAAAATTATCTTCAGGAAGCTAATCTAAGCATGTAGCTGCGTGAATTCTAAGTTCTGGAGGGCAATGTGCCTTTCACATTCTCTTTCAATCAAATCAATTGATTTAAAATGATTTGAACGTGGAGGGATCATGTAAGAAAATTCAATGCAACTCCGGAGGGTGATACGCACGTTTTGGCCAAATACAGATAGTGCTATTTCTTAGGTCGAATCGGTCTTATTAACTCCCCGGGCAGTCCACCGACAGGGGGCCCCGCTGCTCAAATACTCAAGCGCGCGCGTGGCGTACGCTACGTGGCTCATGAATATCCTTGCCTCCATGTACCGCGGTCCAATGCGCTTCGCTTGGCCATTCTGCACCACGCGTTTGGTATAAGCTTTTTAGCATCTTGTTTGATACTTAATATAAAAATTAGTTAAAAATTAAACTTAATTTTAAATATAAAATTTTAGTCTATTTTATTTATTAAATTTTTAATATTTTTTAAAATATTTCTATTAATTATAACGGTTCCACAAAAATATAGTTCCAATACAAATAATAAATATTAGAGGTGTTCAATTTATCCCATTCTGGTCCCGGTAAGTTCGGGACGGAACAAAAAAATTTCAGGATAGGAGCGGGACACGGGACGCGGGACGGGGTCGTCCCGTCCGATCCCGTCCCGAGAGTTTTTTTCTCTTAAAATTATGTATTATTAATTATTATTAGATTATTAAATTTACTTATTAATAATAACTCTTATTTTTATGGTGATTTGTAGCTCTTAACTTGTAGTATTATCTCAACAAAATCTCCTTCCTCAATAAAATAATTTATAAGATCATTATATAGTGTTTTTTTACGGTATTTGTTTTACAGTGTTGTTTTTACATCTTTTTATACTATATAATTGAACTTTTTATGTAATAATTTTTTATAATGTTTTTATTTTTAGAAACCCAAAAAAAAAAGCATTATAACATAAAAAAATTCATATAAAAAATTATACTTTCTTTTTTTTTAAAAAAAGGGAAGCAGAATGGGACGGGACACGGGACATTTATCCTGTCCCCGTTCACCGGGATGGGCCTCTCCCAATCCTATCCCGTCCCGTCCGTGAACGCCTCTAGTTTTACTCCTCAATAAATACTTACAAAACTAGTTATAAACTAGTCCCGATAAGATTTTTATATCAGTAGCAACATATGAAACCAACTTTTTACTAACCAAAAAAAAAAAACTTTTGTTCTAATTTTAGTTTCAAGTGAGATACTACCTCCGATCATAATTATAAGACTTTATTTATAATTTATAAATAAGATTTTATAATTAGGATCGGAGATAGTAGTAATATTTAGTGGGATGTTTTTTTATCTTTTACGTACTCTTTAATTTGAGTTTAAAGTCCGCTGATGCATATCAATTATCGTTATATATTTGATGAAATGGATGGTATCTGGAAGGGAGAAAAAAAAATCATAAACATAACTATCATATTTATTTGTTGAGTTCAATTAAATCCAGCGACTAAAAAATTCATGGACACATACACGTCAATGTTGTTAGGCTAATGACCCGTCTCATTTTGGATTGCGAAATCCAACATTATTCATGCATAATATATTTTAATAGAATTTGTGTTTAATATATGTACGTGGCATCTATTGTGACCTCCTTGATTACAGACATCTCAAGCCACTTTCACACATCATCCCTATCGATATTAATTATATTGTAGGACTTGACTTTTTATCATTCTACACTCATCCAATTCTTAATACAGATCTAATTGAGAAGATAATATTAATCTTATATATAAGATATATTTTATATATTTATTAATTTTTTCGAATTAACCCTATTGATGAAAGAAATTTAAAAAAAAAAACAGTTGGAATGTTTTTTAAAAAATATATTATATTAATTAATTAGTCTTCATTAAGGATCGAAGGACTATAATTGAATAGAATGCGTGGCCAGGATGACATCATACTCCTGACGTGGTCATGAATTTGATTAAAATGTTTTGCCATGATCATTTACTTGATTATTAATTTAATGTTGGTTGATGGTTTCTTTTCCGGTATTTTATACTCCTCCGGTCCTAATTATAAAACCCAATTGACTTATTTGAGGAGATTAAGGAAGTAAGTTAAGTTGGTTATTTATAATAAATAAGTGTTGTCATTCCTAAAATATCCTTGCTAATTAAGTATATTGGCTAAAACTATCATTATTAGAAGGATTATCTTGGAAAAAAATGCATAAATATAAGAGACAAAATGGATTGGGTCTTATAATTAGGACCAAATAAAAAGTCAAATTGGGTCTTATAATAAGGATCGGAGGAGTATTTTATATGTCGTGTCAAAGACTCAAACTAATAAAGCTTCGTTTCAACAATTTAAAGGTCTTTGTTCTTCCCAGAAAGAAAAAATTCTAGGTTGGTAACCGGTCGGCTTCAACTTTTTTACTTTATTCACTTTAATTTCTTCTGCGCTTTAACAACCTTGTGATCTCTTGCACTTACCCCATTTCCTAGTATAAGAAACTGATTGATTTGCCTGGATTTGACTCTAAATATATAGTATAAAATTTTAGTTTATCTTTTATATTTATATTTTTTTTCTCTAAACACTCTTTATAATAGGTATAATTGTTTACATGTGTTATGGGGCTTGCATCAAGAGGTAGCTCTAATATATATTATTAAAAATGATATTTTAAAAAATTCAACATATTTTTTTTATATAAATAACTAACTCAACTAATTTTTTTAATTTTTATAAATTAGTTATCTGATTCTATATAATTAAATACTTGAGGAAGTAGTAGGATTTGGCCGGAGGAACCGTAAATACGACAACTCGCGGGGGATCCGCGGCCTGGTGATGGCAATCTAGCGGTGGGGTTGTTCATTATCAGAGGAACGAAGGAGAGATTGGTATTTCTCAAATTCATGAGATGCTTCTGGCCATCCGGTCACTTCATTCCCATGTAATGTCATAGATACATGACAGTGTGTTTAACAAAGTACTCCTCCGGTCCTTATTATAAGACCCAATTTGACTTTTTATTTGGTCCTAATTATAAGACCCCAATCCATTTTATCTCTTATATTTATGTATTTTTTTCCAAGATAATCCTTCTAATAATGATAGCTTTAGCCAATATACTTAATTAGCAAGGATATTTTAGGAATGACAACACTTATTTATTATAAATAACCAATTTAACTTACTTCCTTAATCTCTTCAAATAAGTCAATTGGGTCTTATAATTAGGACCGGAGGAGTATATAGTTACTCTTCATGTTTAGTGCTTAACAATATCTCGAATAGGATTGTTTCTAGTAAAAAGATATATATGACTACAAAAAAAAAAAACTATACATTTAAAAAGATTGATAAGTAAAATTACACAAAAAATCATCGGTAAAATTGCACCACTAAAAAGATTAGGATGTTGGATGTACTTGAGAAATACTATTAAAGGTAAAATCATACATTTACCCTTTAATAAGATATACATTTAATTATTAATAAATTATTGGTTGAGATAGTAAGTGGTCTCACCAGTAAAAAAGAGAACACAAAAGTTTAAATTCAGAAAAAGCACTTATTGAGAGAACTTTAACTATAATATTTCCAATTCGATAATGATCAGTTTCAAATAATACTTTTGAGTTTCACAAAATATATACACACACATTTAATTTCCAGTAGAATGACTCATCATTTATAATTAGTTTTATATACCGTCGAGATCTAGATTAATACAGTTACGGGGCATACGACTAT